AGGTGTTTCCATTGTATGTCTTCAGACGAAGTATAAGTTACTCAAGCAAGCCTTCATAACTGGTTTTACTTCTCTCTTGCTCTCTCCCTCCCCCTTTGCCTCCTGACTTTATCATCTTTCTCCCTTTACCACCCTTCTTCCAAAGCCCAAAGCAATAGATGGGTAAGAGAAGAAAGGACACTATTTCAAGTTTTTTGGTTTCCCAATTTCAACCCCTAAAGCAATCCACTTATTATTACTAGTAAAATGAATGTTAACTTCTGCTTTGAAAATCACAATCACCATCTCTAACTGAAAATAATTTTTATTATCTTTTCTGACACTATTGTTTTATGCTCATAACTAAAATAATGACTTCAATATTTTAGCCATTGTCTTGAATGATGTAATCCATTTCAGGAGGATTTAAAACCACCATGTAAATCTCTAATAGCCAAAAACTATAAAGTCTCATTAATTACAAAATCCTGGGGCTCTTAGCTACAAATTACGAGTTGAAAGGATATGGATTTTATTACTGTGTAACATTAAATCCTAAGTAAAACTGCCACATAAGCTCATTCCCTACTTCATCTCGCCAAGAAGTGCAATACTGGATTCATTTCCATAAAACACAATGAAATTGCTATTCTGCAAAAAAAAAAAAAAGTATATTACTTTGTAAGATTTTATATCAATGATATAAACTTTACAATATTTTGCTTGACCTTAAGGATGTTTTGTAAATTCTCCAAATTCCCTTTGAATTGTAAAAACCAAAAGGTAGGTAAGATTCCAATAGGACTGGACATAGGACAGAGTCAAGAGAATTAAGCCATAGTTATTACATGGTAAATTTCAATTTATTACCTTTGATATGCTTGTCTTATGGGGTATGATTCTCTATTTTTGGTATGTGTATCTACTTTGAACTCTAGATCTTTTTCTTCTATAATATAGAAAATCAGCTCTTTATTTTCTATCATAGCAGTTATTTTTTCTCCTCGGCTGACTGCTCTGAATGTGCCCATGTGTAGTTAATTTGTTTCTGACCACTTGTCCATTTATCAGAGTAATCTGAATGGTATGAACTTCATTTTCAGTTTCAGCAATTCCACTGAAGAAATCATTGGGCAACACAAGATCTCTTGATGATGCCTATATAAAATCATGAATTACCACAGATTTTACTCCAAACTAGTACTGATGCAATGCTATAGCCTACTGTAAACCCTTCTAAGAAATTCAAGGCCTAGGGACGTTACCCTTTCAGACATGACATGTCAAACTGTATTTGCTTTCTCTAGGACGGGAAAGAGGGAGACAGAGTAGACGCCAAGAGGTTTCCATTATGGCTTCTTTCTGGCCTTTGAGAGTTTTCCTAGAAAGGGTCACCATAAGCCACTATCATTCTAACACCTAAAGCTTGCTCTTTTGACCAAAATTGCTAGCAAATGGAAAGTAACAATTATAATTGATGAGACTGGAAGAGAATAGGAGAGGGAAAGGAAAGCTATTAGAAGAGGAAGGGATCCTTTGGAAAGGTAGGAAAAAAGACCACCTTGACCCATCTGTTTGCTCTAGCACCACATACGGCCATACCACCTGACCCTCAAAAATCACTGACCCCTGGCCAGACAACATTTTTCCAGCTAACTGCAGGTGCCTGGCTTATCTGATTAAACCACCACATTATGAGATCAAGGTCATATGCTTGATCCCTACGTTTGTCAATGGGCATAAGTTTCATGGTCAAAAACTTGCCTTTTAACTCCAACCTCTCATAAATACCATCACTTACGTTAAAGACATTCACAAGAGAGGATATGAACCAATGATGCAAATCCATCACCATCACTGAAAAAGTAACCAGGAAAACCTGACTTGAGAGTCAGCCCACAGAACAAATTCCATTTAAGAACTCCCTGATGATCCTGGGCTTCAAGAGTAAGAAATCAGGCTTCGCTACTTACGTTCTATGTGCGACCCTGGACAAGTTAATTTTTCAGACCTTTTAACAATCAAACACATTAAGGGTCCCAAATAGAGCTTGACATATAAAGGTTACTCAGGTCATGCTAGCCCAGCCCCATCTGGAGATATAATCTGGCAGTCAAGAGCACAGGGATGAAGCCAGGTCCATTCCTGTGTCCCAATCCTGATTTTGCAGCTCACATGAAACACTGGGCAAGTGATGGCCTTATCGTTCTCATAAAGCTGAGATAAAAAAATTAAAGCATTTAGACAGCACACAGCAATTGTCAACTAATGGCAATTATGTTTTAACTCTTAAGATAATATTATCACTATCTGTTAATGTTTTCCAAAGTACAGTCATGGAACTACTGATATCATAACGACCTGGGTGGGATGTCTACTGAGGGGGAAAAAAAGGATACCATGTCCCATCTCAACCTATTCAAAAATGGTACAGGGTAATGGTCATTTCTGAATCAAACTTCCTTGAGATGCCTATGAAAATTTCAGAATTATTGACCCAGCAGGTCTTGTGCTGTGTCATAGTAAATTAAGACTTGTTTTCCAATCCTTATTCTTTACTATGCCAGAATTGCCCAGTATCTGCGGTTCTTTTCTAATGAGGCACATTTCTGGACATAGATGTCAAACCGATAGGCTCATACTTTTTAGGCTCACTCCTGTTTTTTTCCCCAGTGGTACTATTTTGACTTTTTTTTTTTCTTCTGATCAGGGGTCAGCAAGCTATGGCCTTGATATGCGGCTAATTTTGGACAATCCCAACCCTCACAAGGCATATGTGTTTAAAAAAAAAAAAAGAAGAAGTGATCAAGACCACATGTTGCCCAAAGCCTAAAACGTTTACTATCTGGCCCTTTACAAGAAAAGCTTGCCAACCACTTTGTAGCCTATAATTAAATGTTTTTCAACTGCAGTTCTCAACACAATTTAAAATAGGGAGAAATAATCAATTCAAATAATAAATATCAAAAAGCACTGCATCTGACAGAAGGTAGTACCTGTACTATTACCAAAGTTTCAATCAGACACATGTATGTGCCTCCTGGATAATGATCAAATTGTATTTGGTTGCAGTCTAAAAGTTTTAAAGGCCTTGGAGGTGAGGCTGGGGAGTCAATAGTGCAATTGTTTACAAGTTTAACTTGTTTAACTCACATTGAGCAATTTTTACAGCAAAGGTGCCTTGGAGAATATAAAGTCATATAAAGCCCTGCTGTTTTGAAGTTAACGGTTATTTCTTCACTACAAAATGAAAATGGAATCTCTTCTGTGTACAATATATTGTTATAAGGAGAAAATGGAATCATCAATGCAAAGTACCTCAACGAACGCATTATACGAACAAAAGATTTTGATTATATTAACAACATATCATACAGAATACATATAAGGTCTTTACCAAGCCCCTGAGTTCCTAGTTTTCTCCCACCTGGGAAAAGAGTCCTTTTCTCCCCCTTTGTGTGTGTGCATGAACATGTGTGCATGCGTCAGGAGCATAAAAGAAGTATTAGATATCTCTGCCCTTTCTATCATCTGTTACTGGCTGCTGCTTCTTACCTATTTAAAACATGCATTCTTTTCTCTTTCTCTTGTTTCTAGAAGGAAAAGCGTTTGATTTGATTCTTGTGCAAAAAGAACTACTAAGACTATGATTATCCTCTTGAGGAAACATTTAAAAGTCCAAAATTAAAATTTTAAGTAACAAGCTTCACTTTTATCTTCCTAGAGCACTAATTTCCAGGCTTTCTGGGATTGTTTTGGACAAACTAAAAATACATTAATTTTATAATCCATTTCAACATGTAATCGTGCAAAGAAAAGAAACATCCTCCTAGGAGCATACACAAGGAAATGAAATTACACTTCTAAATATTTTCATTTTATGAAATACACTGCGGACACACAAACCACAAGCAGTGTAAATAAATAAAAGCTGGTGCAATGCTGCATGCATGTTTGCCTTATACCACAAAGAGAAAACACTTGCACATTGCACTCCATGGTATTTTAGCTTGGGTTGCCATAAAAATGGGATTTGGGTATGTTGTGTAATACAGGGGGCTGTAAATGAGGGTGTGTGTCTGGGTGTGTTAGGGAAAGAGGGTTGTAAGCAGAAGGGGTGGGACTTGCCAGGAGCAGCTATTTGAGAAAATTCCTTTTTCTTTCCCATTCATTCTTCTAGCTCAGTCTATTCTAGCTCAGTCTGGCACAGTCCTTACAATTACTCACAGGCTTTCATTCTAAAGACAACCAACAAGCTTTCAGAACTTCCTACAGTGTTTTTCTCATACACTTAAAAAAAAAATAAAACAGCAAATCATTCAATATGTCTTTTATACAAAAAGCAAACCATTAACCCGTTTCCTCGTTCCAAAGACCCCCGTGGGTTTCAGACTAAATAGAATCCTTTGTTACGTGTCCAAAAATAACACAACACGGCATTGGTAAATTGGAAAATAATAGATAACTCTTATTTCCCAGAATGTCAGAGCTATTGGCCATAAATTTTGTTCTGCCCCAGTGAGTCCAATTTCATGCTTCTTTTAGTGAATCTACCATCCTAACAACAGTAAAGTCAATCATATTAAACACGGTTCGCCTTTTCTCTTTTGACATTCGTTTAATACAAAGGCTGAAAGAAGACGCCAAGTGGGCCAGTTTCTTTATGCACAATGGTATTCTCGAAGCGAAATACCTCCAATCACAGCGAAAGTTGTCTTTCTAGCAGATGCCCACCCCAACCAGCCCAGGCAAAGGGGGCAGACGGGCAGAGGGAAGCGTAACCTCCCAGCTCTCCCACCTCCAGAGGAAGGGAAGAGGGTATGACAGAGAGCGGAGTAGGAAGGTGGGCGAGTGGGAGAGACAGAAATGGATGCTGAGGGGGTGGGCGAGATGGGAAGGTAGGGAAAGGTGGAGAATGCGGGGAGAGGTGGGCGCGCAAAGCGGCAAGATCCGAGAGCACAGCGGAGAGCTGTGGCAGCAAGGGGATCCCGGGGCGCGAGGGCGGGGGGTCTGGTCCTCACCATTGAACGCCCCTGCGTCTGCGGGCGCCGCCTCTTCCTCCTCCCCGTCCTCGGAGTCGGAGTGCACGGGCTCCTCGGCGAAGTTGACCCCCTTGCTGGGGGTACCACCCCCGGCAGCGGCGGCAGAGGCGCCCGCGTCCCCCCAGGTCCTGCCCTCATGGCCGAAGCGCGCGGTGCCTTTGCGCTGGTTCTCCTGCTGCAGGCGCGTGAAGTGCTGCAGCGCGAACTCCAGCAGGTCCGCGGGCTGGTGCCTCAGCACCTCCACGGTGAAGCCCTGCAGCAGCTCCGTCAGTCCCGCCGGGATCTCGATGCTCATCCTGACTCTGGGGCGGCAGGCGCCTGGGCGCCGCCCTCGCCCCCTCCCCGGCACGGCCTAGGGCCCCGCGGCTGCCGAGCGAGCGCCGACGGCGCTGGCGGCGCTACCGGCTGCGAGCGCGGCGCACTGGGCCCCGGCGGCCCGGCTGGCCCGGCCCGCGGCTCCCGGCGCGCGTCTGCTCCGTGTGGCGGCGGCGGCTGAGCGAGCGCGGCCCCGGGAGGGCTGGCAGCATCTCTTGCTCCTCCCGCTCCCGCTGCGGCCGCGCCTCTCCCTCGCCCGGGCGCCCCGCCCCCGCCCCGCCGCGGTGCGCGGGAGGGGGCGCAGAAGAGCGCGCCCACGTGACCCTCGGAAACCATGGCAACCTTCGCCGGCTGGCGCCGCTCACCAGCCGCTCAGACCACGGCAGGGTGGAATTCGTTGGCGGGCTGCGCGCCCGGGCCGGGTGAGGCGGAGGGAGGCCCAGCGAGGCCGCCTTGGTGTCCACCTGTCCGCGAGTCCAGGAGCGGGCTGGCCACTCGCCCAGCTTCCCACGCGTCATTCGCCATGGTGAACCCCCGCAGAGGTGGTGCCAAGCGATTTGTCCTGAAACTTCAGCCTCCACCTTAGTAGTGGCATTTTATTTTCCTTCTAGAATCTAGTTGCATGATAAGTGTTGTTAATGTCCTTTGTTTAAAGTATTATGGTGGTACTGTCTCTCTTTTGGACAAAGAAATGCTACCCCATCTTCGTGACGTCTTTCTTTTTCTTCCACCACGTTTTATCCAGACTTTCCCCATCCATCCTGTTTATTATGTTTTGTCTTACTGATGCTATTCCGTTGTGCACGCCACGCATTTACTATTTGTTGAGACAAAGGCACCATTTATTGTGAGGCACCTATCAAAGTTAGTTAATCTCCTTCAAATAGGATAGTGCAAGATGAGGCGCTTATTATTTTGAAACTTTTCTTTATGCTTTGAGTGATTTTGACTTGTATCTCCAAAAATTGAAATACTTCAGTATAAAGAAAAATAGAATTACGAATGTGTGCTTTTAAAGTAGATGGCTTTGACTTTGATATGAGGCTGACTTTGCAAATGTTTACAATTTTGAAGTAGAGAAAATTGTCTTTTGTCAATTAAATGCTATTTAAATACGCATACTTCATTTTCTACAATTACCATATCATTGTAAATAAAATAGTTCAAGAGCAAGCTCACTTGGTTATTCCGATTTATCTTCCCACCCACGGAAGAGTAAACACATGACTGGGGAAACTCCAAGACTAGAAATCAGAGATGTAACAAACTAGTCCCTTTTGTAAAAATGGATCTTGATGTTAACCCTTGGTTAATGATGCCTCCTGTATTCACTCCATGAGCCAATGTATTTCTCTGTTTTCATTTCTTAAGAACTTTATAGTAATAATGCTACGTTGTTTTTAAATATACAGTAGTTAAGTGCTTCTGATTGTATCAAGCATTTTAAGAATTAAACTTTTGGCCAGGCGCGGTGGCTCACGCCTGTAATCCCAACACTTTGGGAGGCCGAGGCGGGCGGATCACCTGAAGTCAGGAGTTTGAGACCAGCCTGGCCAAATTGGTGAAACTCCATCTCTACTAAAAATATAAAAATCAGCCGGGCGTAGTGGCAGGCGCCTGTAATCCCAGCAACTTGGGAGGCTGAAGCAGGAGAATCGCTTGAACCCAGGAGGCGGAGGTTGCAGTGAACCGAGATCGTGCCATTGCACTCCAGGCTGGGGGACAAGAGTGAGACTTCGTCTCAAAAAAAAAAAAAGAGAGAGTTAAACTTTTATAAAATATGGTGAGCCTCACACGTCACTTGTTGGAGCACAATGTTAGTACTACTCTTTACCGTGTAAGCATTATTATTTTTATGGATCTGATAGTCTAAGATGCATGTGTATCACCTGTCTAAATATGTGATAATAATTGTATTAATTATGATTAACACTGCTCACATGTGCAGAAAATGCAAAATACAATAGCTTAAGATAGAGTTTTATTTCTCTGGAATCTAAATGTGGGCAGTTCAGGGTTGGTATGGTGCTCCATGATCATCAGGGACCCAGGCTCCCTCAGCTCATTGCTCTGTGATCCTGTTTGTGGTCCAAAATGGCTGCTCCAGGGCCAGTCGTATTTTAGCTAACAGGAAAGTGAAAAAGAGAAGTGGAAGCTCCCCTCCCTTCCTTGAATCACATACCCTTTAAGGACACTTCGAGGAAGTTAAACACAAGTCCTCTTCCATCCTCTTGGCTAGAACTTAGTCAACATGGCCACATCTGTGGTGTGGCAGATTGCATTTTCCAAAGATGACTACAACAATATCTGCTAGAGTGTGGCGTGGCCACTACCCACTAATGAATTGAAGTCTTATTTCCCCTCCCCTTGAAAGTGCTTGTGATTTCTCTGACTAATAGAGCATTACTGAAGTCAATTCAGCATGACGGAAGAAGCCAGCCCTGTGCTGGATGCCCTGGCTGAACTCTTGTTCCACAGAATCTGTGAGCAGAATAAAAAGGTTGTGGTAGGCCTCTAGATTTTGAGATAATCTGTTACACAGCGATAGCAACTGAAACACATGGCTATTAGGAAAGTTTGGAAATGTAATCTTTATTTTGAGCAGTCATGTGCCAAGTAAACATTTGGGGATTAAAAAGAACCAAGTCTGATTGGGCACAGTGGCTCACTCCTGTAATCCCAACACTTTGGGGGGGCCAAAGAGGGTGGATTGCTTGAGCCCAGGAGTTCGAGACCAGCCTGGGCAACATAAGGAGACTCCATCTCTACAAAAATACAAAAATTGGCCAGGCTTGGTGGTACACATGTGGTCCTAACTGTTCGGGAGGCTGAGGTGGGATGAGCGCCTGAGCCCAGGGAGCTCAAGGCTGCAGTGAGCTGTGGTCATGCCACTGCACTCCAGCCTGGGTAATAGAATAAGACCTTGTCTCAAAAAAAAAAAAAAAAAAGTCGAGATAATTGTCAATCTCTCTGCCACGATGTCTAACACCTTTTCCCCAGAAATGACAAAATAAAAAAGCACTACTTTTCCAAACATTAATAAGAGCCATATCTTGTTAATGCCATTTTGTGTTTCCAAATTCATTTATTTCTTTTTGTAGATTTATTATATGAAGCATGGTAGACAGCTGTCTGTCATCAACCACAACGCCAAGATTGTGTGGTTCTCATTTCTTTAAGAATACAGAAATGATTCAATCATGAAATGCCTAATTGGATTAGATGACCCATATAGTCTCTTTCATCCTGAGAGATTTACAATAGTATAACACTAAAAGAAGACTTATTGGACTTGAAACATCCTTGCAAACAGCTCTCTGGTAATTTTCATTTGCATCAGTTCTTAAATAAATAACCATGACCTGAAAAAGTAAAGCTTGGTCCTGATATTCCCATTATATTAGCATTGTTCTCAGAACAAATGTTCACTTCTCAAATCATATTCTGGCTTTTATTCACTACCACATAACCTTTTTGGTAATAGTGTATGATTTCTTTTGCTTTCATTTTCAGAACATTTCATTTTGAGCCTTTTGAACAGTGGCTTATGGGAATTATCTATCTCATATTCTTTAAAAGAGCATCACTGATATTGATTTTTTGGTTGTGGATTTACAAAGCAATTTGCACCAATTTCTCAGAGAATCAGACTGGAAGCAATGGCAAAAGAACCCTGAGAGCTCAGCATTGAAATGAAAAGAGTGCTACCAAATTTGTTTTCACACCGGGAAATTAAAGAGATACATCAACTTGCTTATATGTAACTGCCAAAAAACAAAGTCAATGGCTTGGGCAAACAGTACAGAATAATAACTATGACCAATCAATCATGCAGCACTTCCTGTCAATAGTTAAGGTGTTTCCTGATCAAGTCTCTGGGGTGCAAGAAATATATACTGACTCAAGGAGAAAAAAAAGGAGGCAATTGAGAGGATACAGGGCCTGTTCTTGCCCAAGGCTGACTGTGATCATCAGCCTCAATTTTACATACCTTCAGCATTTTAACACTGACTACAGTTTTGGTGTCTCTGATTCATATTCTCAAGAGCAAATCGGGTTAGTTGGTCTTGACCATCTAGTAGATTGCCTGACCTTGACTGAGGTGGTCTAGTAAGTGTGGCCAGTAGGGTGCCAGATAAGGAAGTGGTTAAGTAGTGTAAATACATGATAAGGACTGCCTCTTCAGCAGAGGAAAATCCTGAATATTGGGGCTAGTCCCAATGTTGTAGACGTGGTACAGATACTTCACAACATGCCTGCTAAAAGATGGTCACCCCATCACCTGAAAATCTTACAGACATTTGGACTAAGAGTAAGTAAAATGTTTAATCTCTATGTGCAACTTTGCAAAAGGGTTGCCGCTAGAAGACTAGTGATTCTGAAATTTTCCCAAGCATCTGAATCACCTGAAGGGCTACTTAAAACACAGTTGCTGGGCCCCACCCCCAGAGTTTCAGATTCAGTAAGTCTGAGGTGGGGCCCAAGAATTTGCACGTCTATCAAATACTCAGGTGATACTTAGGCTGTAGGTCTGGGGACCACAATTTGAGATCCACTATGCTAGATTCACTAAGGAAGAGCTTATATTCATGCTGAATAGGGAGCTGCTTAAAGCAAATTTTTTTGCTTAATATCAAAGCATAAGTTTTTCTTTGGCTAAATCAGGACGAAATGCATACTTATTATTCTCCTTTAAGGAATCTTGCAAAGTTAAAGAGATTCTAAAAAAGCAACAAAGAATATGTCCTTAAACACATTTCGTAAGTAGAATACGGGTTTTCTGTTGAGGACCAAGTTGGACACAGAAGTTTATAACTACTCCTCTAAAATAATGGCTAAAGGAACACAGGAAAACTCACATGACAAAAAGAACAGGAGAATCACAATAAAAATTAAAAATAATTTTAATTTTTTTTATTATTCAGCCTTAAAAGGAAGGAATTTCTGACACATGCTAGAAGACATTATGCTAAGTGAAATGTCAGTCCCAAAAAGACACATACTGTATGATTCCACTTATATGAAGTATCTAGAAAAGTCAAAATTTATAGAAAGAGAAAGCAGAATGGTGGTTGCCAGTGGCTGACTGGGGAGGGGAAAATGGGAAGCTGTTTAATGGGTAAAGAGCTTTGGTTTTGCAAGATGAAAAAGTTCTGGGATTGGTTGCACAACAATGTGAATATATGTAACACTACTAAACTGTACACTTAAAATGATTATGATAGTAAACTTCAT